TATATATATATATATATACCGGTGTGTGTGTGTGTGTACTACTAGGCTTCATAGCTCTATAATCTTTCATTTCCATAAACTTGTCAGAAAACATATTCAGTCATGTTATTATAAAATATATGAAAATTTTATTAGCTTTAATTTCTTAACTTTGCACTTATATTTCCACTATATATTATTTAGGGCCTATATAAATATAATATATATTTAGTTTATATATAGATTATGAATATGCAGTTTTCCAAGTATAAATATTTTAATAACATACATTTGCTGTACCAGTGAATATGTGTGCATATGTATGTGTGTGGCAACAGCCTTCCTATTCTTTCATGGGGGTCCATATCCACCCACCCACGTATAATCTCTCTATTTCAAAAGACGTCAGTAACTACACCACTCATACAAATACACACACAGACAAAAAAATCCTTTTAAACGGTTCGCATTTTCATGCCACACGTCACACCAATCTTGACATCTGCCTCAGAGCTTTTAAAGTGATTAGCAAGCCTTCAATGCACTTCAATATGACAGTCTGCAGCATCTCCATTTATTACAGCTAATTAAAGACTTGAAAAAAGAAGTCTTAGGAGACTGTCGCATTTAATTCAATCTACAAGTGCCAATACTGCATCGTAAAGTGGCTAATTCGTTTTTTTTGGGGTTGTGTGAAAAGGTAGGCACATTTCCGGGGCCAACAGGTGGCGTCGGTTTGTTCTTTCTGCGTGTTTGATATTTCCTGTGGTGGCATTAATAGCAAAAGAGTTTAAACAGCCCCGCCTGATCTCTCTGCTTAATGACACCACACTTTGACTTTCCGGAAGGAGCGAGGGGGCTATATGTTGGTGTGAGTGAGTGTGTGTTATTCCTCTGTTGTTTAATAGTGTGTATATATGTGTGTGATTTACTTTATCTTACCTTGTTTCTAAAAGAGAAATGGAAATGAAAGACAGCATGAACCGTAAAGAAGTTATGAAGATCTCCACAGAGAGAAACACAGAAATGTTTTGTTTTAACATTGTTTAGTACCTCATAAAATTGCAGTAATCACAAGACAGCGAAAAGACATAGAATCTGAAATTCTTCACACTGCTGGAGCTTCATATAATTACACAAGAGCAAAGTCAATATTCGTTTAATGACGTAATATGGCTCCGGGTCCATTAGACCCCAGCGGTTGAAGCAGTTCTCCAAGAGCAGATTAACTGGTGTGTAAACAATGTGTTTTCATTATGCAGTTTGTTTTGCTGTAATTGTCCATATTTTGATTTTAAATCGCACTGTGTAATATCTGTAATATGTGTGCATTTTGATTTCACACTTGAGCGATGACGACAACGATTATTTTGAGTAAACAAAGACATTAGCATGTTCATTCATCCAATTTACTGTTTTCCCTGACTCTCTCTCTCACTAAACCAATTCCTTGTTTTGCTTACTTAACTTTGATTAAGTTGCCATAAAAACAACATCTCCGCAAAGTGGCGATTATTATATTTCCAACTAGATATATACATTTTCTGAAGAAAATGTGAGTGGTGCTTGCCATGGCAAAACTCAGCACTGTGTGGTCGCAAAGGTGTTCTGGGTGGTTGCTAGGGTGTTGCTACGTGCCATGCTATAAAAACAATATCTCTGCAAAGCGGAGATTATAATTTCCATTAAATGCAAAAATGAATGTGATAAAATGTTGATATTAGCATTTGGCTGAGAATAACTCACAATTATGCACAATGATGTCCAGGACACAATGAAAATTAGAGAAAAGGTAAGAATTATTTTTTTTATTATTATTTTAAATATTTTAAGAATGTTATGATGTACACTTTAAAAAAACTTCGGAGTAGAAATAATTTTCACTCAGAAATTGCTAGTAAATTTCACAATCAATTACAAAGAAATGGCAAGTAAAACATTGAATTAAATATGACATTTTGAAGTAGACATACTGAAATACTATTTTCTTCCAATAATCTTTGTTTCAACTTCAAAAAAAAAATGTCAGTGTAAAACTAATATGAAATATTGAATGTTTTACACTGTTTTAAGGTCACTATACGGCCTTGCTATTAAAGTGATAGTTCATCCAAAAAAATAATTCTGTCATCATTTACTCATTATTCTTTGGAACACAAAAAAGATATCAAAACTACAGATAGCCTTACTTAAATTTTATCTAACAGATATTATATATTTTTTCACAATGTTGTTTGTACCCTCATTGACTTTGAAAATATTTTCTTCTTCTTTTTTTTTTTTTATAACAAAGAAAAATGACAGATTCTTCATTTTTCTGGGTGAACTATTGCTTCAAGTGTTTTAAACCTCTGAATACCTTTTAACATGGCAAACTTTGTCAAATCCATTATTTCATGGCCAAAAGCACTTGCCCGCATCTTATAAACAACTTTTTTCACACATGCATGCTAACACATATACACTCTTTTTTTCTGAATCTATTAAACACTGTTTCTTGATGGGAGGTGTGTTCCCTGCAACATGGGGAGATTAATTCAGTTCCACCTCAAACTCAAAAGCATTCTTCAGATCTGCTCATGCTCACGCATCCCGGAGCAGTTTCATGTCTCTTTTGGGGATTCAGAACTGATTCAAATTTGAGTTGGATTCTTCTCTCGAGAGCCAAAACTGCCAGTATCAGAATAATTGGATGCAGGTGTGAAGATAGCGCAGGCCTCTGAGTCTTTTTGGGGGAGCAACCAGCGTAAGAGAGACCCCAAGAGGAAACCGTCCAAAATTAGAATTTTAAAAAGTCAGAAACAAACTCAGAAAATGACACACTGCTGTGTGAATGAGGAGAAAAGGCCTTTGGCTGTGTGAGTTCTCATGGAAAAACACGTAAGTGTCAGAGTGTTAAACTGGTTTTTCACCATACTTTAATAATGAACAGATAAGCATTGTCTCTCTCACACACACCACACGCAAATGCACAAAGTGCAATCATGAGAATCTAAATCTATGATGGGTTAGTAATGATGTCTACAGAGAGCTGAGAACTCAATCAGAGCCTCAGCATGAGTGTGTGTGCATATTTGCATGTGTAGTCATTACAAATGCGACCAGGTCTGTCTGCCTGCGTTTTTCCTCCATCATTAGCAGATCTCAGGGGGGCAGTGGCCCGCGGGGTGTGTGTGCTGATGACATAGCACCCCTTGCGCTTACTCCTAATGGGATACTTTCCTCATAACTTATTAAATCTCTCTTCCTCTCTGTGAAGGGTGAGTGAATGTATTTCTGTAAACTCGCCTTTGAAATCTCTATAATCTTTCATTCATTTTCAACCATAATCTACACAGATCAGTATACTTCTAAATGATCTTTGTGACACTTCACTCAAACACTTCACTTGTTTATCAACATACCGATTGTTCGGCTGAGGAAACATATTTCTGAAAAAACTCCAAACTTCATAGACAAAAACTTTTTTTTTTTTAGTTTTGAGAAACTGCATAATGTATAGGA